CGGGCTGGGCCCGGGGGCCGCCGCGGCGCGTGGATAGGAAAGACGGGAAAGTAGGTCATGAAGGTTTGAAATTCTCCAAGCAGTAAAATGAGCAAGGCAGATGATCGCTGTGTATTGACAAGCTTTGTGGCAAGCAGCGTTGGGGATAAAGAGCAGGGCTGGCGTTGGCACTTCTTCTGTGCATAACAATACAATAATAATAATACAGTAATAATATAACCTGCCATATTCACACAGAGGTGTGTAACCTCTCTGGAGAATCAGACCTTAAAGGACTGTGAGTAGCAATGTGCTTTGATTGATTAAGTAGCCAAGACGCTGAAAATACTTGACTTACATGATGTGTCAATGTGTCATATAATTGTCATATATCTTATACCAACAGAAAGAAGGAGGAAGGACTAGAAATAGACAAAATAATAGAGCCAGAGGAAAAGGAACCCAGCTTGATCTGCCCCCCACCACGCAGCAGAAACTATGTCCCCCCAGCAAATCTACAGAGTAACCTCGAGAGTCTTGTCAAGGAGATTTTTGGGCCTTCAGTTCCTGATAATTGGCAACAGACATCTCTGAAAGAAAATAGGTTAAAGTTTCTTCTCCTGGATCAGCTGGCATCAGACCTTGGCCATACTGTCCCAAATTCACAGCTCCATCTGATGTGCAGTGCTGAGGATGTCTTGAATTTCTACAGCACCCCTGTGAAGGATGTATCAAAGTTTGATGAACTGTCTGCTGCAGAGCTACCCCCAAACCTGAAGATTATTTGGGAACAGTGAATCGCACTGTGAGGCATCATGTTGTTTTGCTTGTGTTCCTAAGACAGCATAGCACAGCAGACCCCTTCCAGCTGTTTATCAGCCAAAAGTTTGAATATCATGAATAAAAGCTAATATTGTCTTAAAATGTCATTGTTTCTGTTTATTCTATTCTGAAAAGAGCAGAATTTGGTGCTATAGAACAGTGCCACCGTGTGGTCAGTAGAAGTAATAATGTAGGTTTTTGGCCTATGCCATGCTGCCTGGAAGTTGTAGGACCTCGGGGGTGGAAATCAGAAAGAGCCAACTCCTATTTCTTCCCTAGACACTGTAAACATTCTGTTTTTCAATCTGCAGCCTGCAGTGATCATTTACTAGTGCATGTGAATTTTACTGAGGCAGAAAGAAACACTTCACAGATAGTGTTTGGAGGTAGGTATGCTCATCTCCAAGCTTCTATGGAACTATGCACCTGGTAATACCTGGTTAATAAGACCCTGGTTAATAAGACCAGGCCAGTAGCACAAAAGGAATTTGGCACCAGGTCTAAATGCAGGTGCAAACTTGCTGAGGGTGACTCTGTGCCTGTATCCAGGTCATTGATGAATAAGGTAAATGAGCCTGGACCAGTGAAATAAAATTCTTGAGCCATGGAAGGCCTAAGGGCTAGATTTTCAAAGGTGCTTAAGTAGTTTGTAACAGTTGGACTTTCAAAAGTACCTAATTTCTATGGAGTTAAATTATAAATACTGGAAAAACTCAAAACAAAAACCTATCAATCTATTTGCAGGACCGGACCTAACATTAGCTTTTATGACCAGAGACAGCAGAAGGAACAACAACGACAGTAAAATAAAGCTGAAGGAAGCTAGGTTGGGAATATATTTCATAAGTGAGAGATTATATGCCAGGCTAGGTAAAGAGAAGTCTATATGAATGAAATAAGGATTTTTTTTTTCTCTGTGAAGAGGTTCATGAATCTGTACAAGCAGCTGGGGGAGACAGAACTCTATCGTCCCATCTGCTCTCTTGCTTGGGTGCATTAGCTGATTCCTATGCTCCAAAACCAGGAGTTTTCAAGCTAGACTTTGAGCACATGTTCAGACCTGGTCTATTTAGTCCTCCTGCTGTTGATAGCATTCTAGGAATTACTGAAATGAACATCCTGTCAAATACACAAAGTATTCCAAAGCCAGAAAATGCCCCTTTTTTTTTTTTTTTTTTTTGCATTCAGGAAGAATCGAGAAACAAGTGAAAACATAATCAGAATTATTAGTGATTGTTAGTGCTAGAGAAGAGGGAGGGTCAGAAATTAAACATACGGATTTTCTTCTGCATCCAGCCTTTGTCACCTTATGAGATAGAATAACTGCTTATAGTAACCATTTTGATCTATATGGGAGACTTGAAGCTATGCGTGCATATAAAATTCCCTAAGGCAGACACTATGATAAGGAAGGTGGTATTGGCAGTTTCTTTCCAAAAGTACTCTTTAAACCCTATGTTGCTTCAGTGATGTAATTGAAGTCCACAAATTTAGCAAAAGGAGACTGTATTTCAAATACCAACGGTTTTTCATGCTAGTGCTGTAATAACTCATTTCCAATGCCTATACAGATGAGCCTGAAGACAATTCTTGATTTTGTTCTTGAAATTTCATGAAGCTGCAGCCAATGAACTATGTATTGCAGTACTCCAGGGTAAGAAGTCATTTTTATAAAATCAATGCTAGTCCCGTTCAGTGCACACTCATTAACTCCCTTTAGTTTACATTAATTCCACACAGTTTGTAGCTGTATCCCCTTACCATAGTAAGTGGCAGTGGTATCTTCTTCCAGGGCAGAACCAAATTTGAAGTTATTCTTGTGTTTTGTCATGAAGAATTCCCACAGGACCTGGTTCATTTCACAGCCAATTGAGTTCTGTTTTTAAGAAGTTTCTCAATCTCTCTCTCCCCTCCATGCCTCTATATAGTGTTGCCTTTCTAACACCTATTGCAAAGGCCTGACGAAACATAGGTTTATAATGAAGTTCTCACTCTTCCGCACAACTATTCACCCAGCTGCTGTGACGTGTCTAGCTGTAGCAAAGCTAAGTGGTAGTAAACTGGTTGGATTCCTGATCTCATAACCTTTTTTGTTTGTTTGTTTTGTTTTGTTTTTCCAGTTTATTTTATTTAAGCATTTGCTTTTTATACTGTCACTTCCTCATTTTTGTGTTAACTGTTACAAAGCATATTTCTGCAGTGTTGATACTTGCCGTTGTCCCCACACCTCTGGTTTTACTGATGACCTTTCACAGCTCTGTGACTTGTGGGAAAAGGGCAGTGGAGCCTTGGGGCAGGTTTGGGGGCTGCACTGCTGTGCTGTGAGTGTTGTTGCATTTCCTGAAACCTGGCAAGCCGGTGCAACACCTTCATGAATGGAAATGACTGTCTTTTCAAGAATGGTTCTGTACTTGACATGCCACTCTCTGATAAACTGTGACGGGGAGTATCTTGCACAACCACCTTGGCTTGCTTGATTCTGCCACCAGTTTGTCACACCACAAGTGATGCCCATAGCCAGCCAGAACATAGAGAAGTGATAGGCAGCCTTCAAATACAAGCTGGGATAACAAACTCCACGGAGCCCTCTACCTGCTTGTCAGAGTAGACTAAGTCAGTCAAGTATAATGACAACAAATTATTCAAGTAGTCTTTCAGCTTTCTGCCAGAAGTCATTTACTGTCGAAGCAAACCTTTTCCTCTGTATTGCATAGCATCTTTCTGTGGGGTCGTTCTTGGAGGAAAACGGCTGCCCGATGAACAAGGCACATGAGATGTTGGAGTGAGCATGTGCCGCAGAACAAAAGGTCACTTGGAACCTGCGACATAAGGGAAGAGTGACGGAGCCTGACAACAGCCAGTCAGGAGAAAGGCTGTAGACAATCAGATGAGACGGGACCGCGCGCGCGGTAAAGGAACTGCTATATAAGGGACGGCTTTGTTTCAATAAACAATTTTTTTCAGGTTTATTCACACTGGGTCGGGCTAAGCCCACAGTTTTTCTCTCCTCAGATGGTGACACCGACGTGATACACGGCATGGAGCTTCAAATTGAGGAGGTGCGTGGGGAACTTGAGCAGCTGGGGCAGGAGATGGGTCAAGGACTCACGAAAGAAGAAGATGCAATTGTTAAACTTCTCCTGCATATACTCTCTAAGAGGAATTAAGTACAATGAGCTTTTGCTCCGGAACTTACTAATTTGGTGTCAAGAAAATGGGTTCCTCGCTGAACCAGAAAATGCTTTTGAAGTTGAAGTATGGGAAAAGGTCGGAGAAAACTGTGGGACAGGGTAAGCAATGGCGGTAAAGGAGCAAAAACTTCAGCTACCACTTGGGAGGTTGGTACTGTCAACCTTGCAAAGTTTAAAAGCAGAAAGATATGCAACAGCTGGGACATTTGCCGCCTGAGACCTTTGTCAGGGCCAGCAGCATATCCGGCTCATATTAGAGTATTCGACCAACCGCCTGTCCCGTCCCCTGTATCACCATCAGCCCCCCTGATGGGACTGACTGCCAATACCGCCGCCGCGCCAACCACCCAGTAGCAGTGAGACAACGTTTCATCCACCCCTACCGCCCTCACCACGTCCTCAGCCACCCCTCCTGCCCCCGGGACATGACGGGAGCGCGCGCACAAGGAACTGGTATAAAAGGGACAGCTTTGTTTCAATAAACTGTTTTTTTCAGGTGGATTTGCGTTGTATTGTGCTGAGCCCATGGTTTTTCTCTCCTCATCTTTCCTTTGTATCTGACCAGCAGATCAACTAGTATATGTTATGAGTAAATCCCAGGTTACAGGAGCAGTGGATGTAGTTGCTCAACATCAAAAATCTACTTTATGAAATCCAGAAGAACAGTCCCTCTATGGATATTTAGGGGCAACATCCAAAAGGCTCTGCATCAAATCAAAGGACTTCTTTCCCTGGAGAGGAATAAGCATGTCTTTATTTCATCAAATAGCTGTATTAACTATTTAACAGAAGCTCCTGAGTTCTGAGCTCATCTGTGGGAGGATGTCCTGGGAGCATCACTGTGCCAGGGATTACAGATTGCATTTTTCATTACTCCAACAATATTCTGTTTTGAAGGCTAGTAGCAGCTGGAAGAAAACACAAATGCATAAGCAACATTAACTTTAATCCATTTTTAAACAGAATCCTATTAATGGCCTATTTCAAGTCTTGCTAAAGTCAGGCCATAACAGATCTGGATCAGACTACAGTAACTGCACCTGTCCATCATACACAGCATGTATCTTTGATCTTCCAGATTTCAGGCAGGTTTTCCCCTCTGTTTTGCTTCTATATGCATGCCTTCATTTTTTGCTTCATGTTACCATAAGAATACTACTGAAAGTCTCAAGTTTGGAAAGTAGGCAGGCCTTGGTTGGATCTATCTAAAACATTGCCAGAGTTGGCTGAATCTTAATACTGACCAATGCCTGAGACTCTTTGGTCAGAGCTGTTTCATAGGTTATGTTAATTCAAGGTTGGAGAAGCATTAATCCTGTATTTTCAATATTGACCTCTAGCATTGGTCAGATGTACCAATTTTGCCTTCATGCAGGTACTTCAGCCAGGGGAGATGGTTTTCCTGATCCCAAGTGTCACATCTGAAAGTCTTATTGCAACCAAGAGACACAAGTCTGATGAGAAGCCAGGAGAAGTGTGAACCAGAAGGAGTGTGACACCTAACTGTCAGATGAGAGACACATGGGTATGCAGATGGGGGCCACACCATCAGCTGGGTCACTTTTCTCCATAAGAAGGGACTTGGGCACTGCTGCCAATCACTATACACAGGCATGGTTCATAGCTCACGAACATACAGAGCTCTGATGACTGGAATGTGGCCATGGATGGCTTTAGGCTTTTCAGGAAGGACAGGACAGGAAGGTGAGGTGGTGGAGTTGTTCTTTACGTGAAAGAGCAACTGGGATGTATGGAGCTCATCATAGGGGAGGATGAAGTGCGAGTCGAGAGCCTGGGGGTGAGGA